AAAGAAAAAAGAATCTGTCTTTATAATTCGGTAGTTACTTGCACTAGATGACATCCAGGTAATCCCACCGTTCAGCGTTTCATGTTCCTGCATCGCTATCCTGAGCCCTGGACTTGTATCTGTCCAGCAGCACTTGTTGTGACTGCACTGTGTTACAAGTATTGTGCATCCATGCCACAGTAAGAGCTGTGGTGAGACAGTGGGTTATTCTCCAGTGAAGGGACAGTCACTCTTCCCTTTTCAGCTGTCACATATCATTTGGGCAAGAAATATATAGGAGGCTCAACCTTGAGAACTGTGATGGCCAAATTATCCCACCTGGGTTCCTTGTGGCTTTTATTCTAGGAATAACTTTCTAGGGATGTGAGCTGGTTCCTGTAACTCGGAAGCTTATTTTTTATTTTTTTAATATGTCCTGAAAATCCTCTACTTCCCATGTGGTTTAGAGAATTAGAGGTAGAAGGCCCTTACTTTCTCCTGTTCCTTTTGGGAGAGTTTCTGAAGGCCCTTTGATGCGGACACTATTCCAACTTCAGCAGCTGTGGATGTCATCTGGCTTGTAAGTCTGCTGATAACCCTGGGCAAAGCCCTTGGGCAGGCTAGAAACTTCACAAGCCCTTCTGTGCTAGCTGACAAGCCAAAACACTAGTCAAGAAGATGGTTTCAATGACCATTTTATAGTACCTAGTCACTAGAACCCTAGCATTAAAGTACTTCTCTAGACAACTTCTTCCCATTTTCAACACTCAGCCAGCAGCAACACTTTTGAAACTGGGATATTCTCTGCTAGCACATCTGTGCAAGTAAATTTTGCCCTTTGGGACTAAGACTTCCTCATGCGTATTTTAAAGGAGTAGTACGTTGTATGTACCTTGCACTTGCTAAGCTCTGTTGTCTGTTTTGTCTTCTTGCTACAATGAGGGCATTTTGGGGACTAAGTTTCACCTAGACCATCACTCCGGGAAGCAACACTTTTCTTGAAAATGGCTCTAAAGCTGCTGCAGTTCCACTTGTGGAAGTGGGGACCAGACTGCTCTTGGATGTATTTTAAGTAGTCATTTAATCCTGATCTCCTGGCTCTCTTGGTGTTCCCCCTGCTTCCCCCTACCTTCAGAGTTGCTCCTGCAGTCTCATTGTACTTAAGCTCTGTCTCCTCAGAATCTGTGGGTGGCCATAGTCTGCTAGCTAAGCCATGGACTCTGCTGGTTGGCTTTTTTTTTTTTTTTTCTCTCTCTTATATTGTCAGGTCCTGTCATTTCAACTACACGTCAGTTCCCCAAACTGAGGAAGTTTATAGCACCAATTAAAAACTAACTAGGAGCCTCTTCTGTGTTGTCTTAGTTAGTATTCTGAAGATAATATATTATGTATTTGAAAAGCTAAAGAAGCAAAGATTAAAGATACATGTATATAAAGCATAAAATGTACTGGTGAAATGGCAATTAAACAAGTAATGTTGGGGAAAAGAGTGTCATGAGTCTTCTAAGTTGTCAAATTGTTGTTGCTTTGGAAGCCCTGCAGATTGAAGATCATTGTCTCCAGCAAGATGCCACTGGCCTACTTGTTCTTCTGCAAGTGCATTGTGGCCTGCAGACTGGACAGGAAGAGCTCTAGGAGTGAGCGAAGTTCAGTCTCTGTCAGGGCCAAGTAGGTGCCTGGAAGAAGGACGTAACAATGACCTGTGGCTGTTCCAAATGGTGGGGGTCAAAAAACAACGCGGAAAACAGGCTTGACTGGGGCTGGGGGCGAGGAAGGGAGGGAGGGAGGGAGATACGCTTGATGCGAATAAGGATAAAACTAGCAAGTGAGAAAACTTTGTTGCCCTGCCAGTTAGCATTTCAGACATCAGAGGCTTTACACCCTGAAGATACTTGTCCAAATTCGTTCTTACAATACTTGCAAATGTGAAGCAGTCTCTGCTGACTGTGGAGACGAACTCAGTGGGCCAGGTCCCCAGAAGACACAGAATATGTGCTCAGGGCCCTGATGTTCTGTCTCTGGTCTGGTCAAGGCTACTCACGGCCATCTGTTCATGCACAGCCACACTCGCTCAGTGCTTGTCTGCCAGACAATGAAGTACTGCTCCTGGTTGTGTTGAGAGTATCGTGGAAGCCATGTGGCCTGGGTAAAGGTGTGAAGTCCTAACCTTTTAAACCAGATATTCTAATAGCACCTGTAAACATTGGCGCCATTTGTCAACTATAACAGAACCTGTGGTGGCCTGGAAAAAACACCTCTCTCTTTCTTCAGATGTAAGAGCAAAGCTGTTATCCCTTTTCAGTGAATATGGTGGATAAATGGCTGGGTAGGTCCTGGCAGTGAGAAGGTGAAGGGTCCCATCCATGTACCATGGTGAAGCTCAACTGACTTTACAACAGGTACTTGTAGTGAGAAGGGGTGAAAAGACTGGAGTTATTTCTTCACAGTAAGAGGAGTTTCAGGTAAAGTCTGTCTATGGGAGGTGCTGGGATATAATTGTGCTTGCGGAGTAGAGAAGTGTAGACGATTGGAAAACAGTTCATGAGGAAGAGAGCTTTGACCTCTCCGGAGATCTTCCTGGTCCCCATGTCCTTCCACACTTCAGGGCCTGCTGCAGTGCAATACCTTGACATGTTCTGTGCAAATCCTCTCCCTTTCTCAATGGCCTTCACCAGGAACAGGCTTTCCCTCCCCCTGGGTCTGCATAGTAGAAAAGTTGGCTATGGCAGTACGTTATTGGTGAAATTACCCTGCCTGTTACCAGACTGGCTGAATCTTCCATCTTTTCCTGCACTTTCTGTTGCCAGTGTCTTTTTCTAATCTAGCTTCTGCTGGATGCAGGCTGCTTCAGACATAGTCTCTGATGTTGCAAACGATAGCGCTCTCTAGATGAAGGATTAAGGCCAGGCCTTTAATACGAATCAAAACATCAAGCAAATACGCTCAGGTCTCTG